GATCAATTCTCGAATGTGAAATTGAACAAATTATGTCTGTTCAAATTGTTAAATGAATTGAAGAATTTGATGCCTTACATTTGCAGAGTTTACAACAAGGTTAACTATACAAATTAAATTAAATTAAATGTTTTTTGATTTGTATTTCTTACTCAAATTAATACAAAAAATCTTTTGGAAAATGTGAAATTACCCAACATTTTAACAAAATTTGATGTGAGTTGTGAAAATCTTGATAATAACATTCAGGGGAAGCTCTCTCATTGCATTGACATGAAGCTTGGTTTGACACTTCCATGATTTCGCAAATCTGTCTCTTCATTCTTTTTTCTTACTAATGTTATTTTTTGTGTGATAAGGAATCGGTCAAGTGCTACTATCTAGTTTTTCTTCTTGCAGTTTGAATTTTAAATGGTGGGTGTATATATCTTGATTTCAATATTCCTGCAAAATTTATATTTTGATTTCAGTATTCCTGCAAAGTTTATATTTTGATGATTTTTAAATTATAGTTTGGATTGTGTTTTATGTGACTTTTGATTTGCATAAATAATAATTGTCGGATGGTAAATTTTGATCTATTTTGTATATTCTTGTAGATTGCGTCACATTTCTGTATTAATGAAAATCTACACCGCTAAGATAACTTGCTTCATTTAAAAGTTAAAAAAAATAGACTAAATTTTATTCTTGTTAAAATTCTATCCTCTTACATATATTGGTGCCTTAAATAGTTTTGCTCTAGCCAACAGTGCTGATGATTTGTGGCTTTCCTCGGGGTTGAACCAAACTTTTGAATCGGTTCAACAAGGGATCTAATAGGAGTGGCTGGTCCTTGTCTTGTTACAATTTGTCCCCTCAATTTCCTACTACTATTTATATGTTGCTTTCTTTATTTAGGTTTAATTTTAGCTGAGTTTCTGTCCAAGATAGCCATCGACGATTGTTTTACTATCTAGAGTTGTATCCAAATACAAGAAGGTCCTCCAGCTTTAGCTCGCCCGAGGTGGTGATTTTCTCTAAGGGTTCAAGGAGTGCTCCAGCTGTAAATCACTCCCACAGGGATTGTTTTCCTTCTATATTCTCCTCACCTGATCACTGCCATCTTCCCGACATTCTTACTCTTACTATTTCACTACTGCAAACTCTATTCTCCAACCCTTGCTGTTGTCTTTGCTCCCATCTCTCAGGTCGTATCCTCCATCTTGCACTATTCTCTTCCATGCTTTCAGCCGTCAACCCCAAAGCCCATACCTGCAGTTGCCGCAGACACACCTGCAACCTCTCTTGCTCGGCGCAACTCCCTCATCTCACTCCCCTCTCCACCCCCCCACATTTGTTCTACCGCCCACTTGCTCTAGCTGCAATTTCTTGTCCAGCCCAACCCACATCTCTAGCAGCCCTCCCCACCTCTCCAACCCATCCAGGACAACCGACATCCCATCTCAACTCCCTGACAGCCAATGTAACCATTCCTCTGCCTTCCCCTTGCTGCTAAAACCATCTTCCAACATACAAATAGTAGTAGGTAACTGAGGGGACTAATGGTTGGGACCTCACCTACATATAAATAGTAGTAGGTAACTAAAGGGAATGGGTACCGACTAGCCAGCAAGTAGGTATGCGGGTAAGAGGTGGTGGTGATAGGGTGGGGTTCCACCCATTAGTCCCCTCAGTTACTACTAATATTTATATGTTGCTTTCCTTATTTTAAGTTTAATTTTTGCTGAGTTTCTGTCCAAGCTAGTTGTCAGCGGTTGTTTTTCCGGCTAGAGTTGTATCCAAATGCAAGAAGGTGCTCTAGCCGTAACTCGTCCGAGGTTGTGATCTTCTCTAAGGGTTCGAGGAGTGCTCCGACTATAATCCCACGAGGATAGTTATTCTTCTATATTCTCCTCACTTGATCGCTGCCATCTTCCCTACATTCCTACTCTTCCTGTTTCACTATTGCAAACCCCATTCTTCTGCCCTTGTTGCTGCCGCTGATCCCATCCTTCAGGCCGTATCCTCCATTCTACACTCTTCTCCTCCATGCTTTTAGCCATCAACCCCAAAGCCCATACCTCCAGTTGCCGCAGACCCACCCGCAACCTCCCTTGCTGGGCACAAGTCTCTCCACATCTCTAGCAACCCTCCCCACCTCTTCAACCCATTCAGAACAACCGCCATCCCATGCCAGCTCCCTGAAAGCCAATGTAACCATTCCTCTGCCTTCCCCTTGCTGCCAAAACCATCTTCTAACCACCCCGTCACCACCACCTCTTACCCGCATATCTACTGGCTGGCCAGCCGACCCTAACTCACTTCGCCGTCGTCCTAGGGTGTCTTGTTAGGTTTGCCATCATTTATTTTTTGTTTTGAAGAGACGTTTGTCTGAATTTCAAATATAATATATTTTTTTGTGGTTTGAGTTAACCCTGGTATCATTTGGTATTAAAACTAGTCTAACCCTAGTCTTATCCTAGGGTTTCCTAGCATCTACTTTAGCCTACAAAAAATTTTCTTTCCCATTCCTAAACCATAGCCAAACTTTGACTCAACTCTAGTTTTCCCTGTGACAATCAGCAACCCTAAATCAATTCTTTTACTCACTTTCACCCTAAATCAATTCTCTTACATTCTTTTACAAAGGAGATATATGTCTGAGCCTACCCAGAAATATAAATAACAAAGATGCGTAGACTTCAACAGACACTTGCAGACATTGAGGATGAAACTCAGTGTTGACTTACCCTCAATGGAGATTGGAAAAGTTGAAGTGAAGAAAGAGACGAGAATTTCAACCCTTTCCATAGGGAGGATTTCAGTGATGAAGAAGAAAAACTACGATGTTTTGGAATCCAATATCAGAGGAGGTCAAGAGACAAGGCCACTTATGAGACAGTGACTTCGGAATAAATGTGGATCTACCAGAGATGATGGAAGTTTGGATCGAGACAAATTTATTGAATAGTTGCAAGCAGAAAATGCTTCAGATGCCATAGATTTGGGCACATCACCTCTAACTGCCCGAAGAGTTGTCTTTTATCGAGCAGGGCGTCGTGGAGGAGGTTGGCAATAAGGAGAAAACTGAGGAATAGGGTGAGTCGTATCTTCCATTGGTTGAAAGTGAGATGCTCATGGTTCGATGGGTCCTACAGACTGAGGATACAATGAATTTGTTGTAGCTTCGTCACAATATATTCTACACTCTTTACGTAGTGAACGGGAAGGTTTGTAGTCTCATCCTCAATGTAAGGAGCAGTAAAAGCGCGTCGTCTACAAAAATGAAGAAGTTGAGCCTTATGACTCAAAAGCACTTACAATTGTATTCTCTAGCGTGGTTGAAGAAGGATAATAAGTTTAGCATTGATACGAGGTGGCTAGTAGAGTTCTCGATTGAAAGCTAGTTGCAGGATTATGTGTGGCGCGACGTGGTACCCATGAATTTCGCCACCTGTTGTTGGGGAGACCGTGGCAATTTGACCATAGGACTCAACACATGGGTTCAGGAACACCTACTCCTTCACCAAGGATGGGAAAGGGTTCCTCATTCTACCTTCTAGGGAGCTTCTAGGGAGCCCGTGTTCGCATGTGCCCTTACCAGCAGAAAATCATCAATGGGAACAATTTTGGCGACAATAAAGGATAATAGGAATGAAACGCTAATTCTAGTCACGAGGCAGTTACGACAAAGCATTTTAGGACAAAACAAGTGATAGCTTACCACCATAGTCACCACCGTTCGAGGAGGTTCAGGTGACCCCCACTTCATTTTAGGTTAAGCCGACCTTGAATTACTTTCGGAGATAGTGAAGCCGATAGTGAGATCCTGATACTGCGAGGACCGCTGACGAAGAACCAAAATCTTTGACGCATGTAGTTGAAGCTCCCCCAACCAACCCCAAAAGACTGACACAAGGCTTACCCAAGGGTTGAACTGGACTGCTGAAC